TCTTAGCTAGTAGAAGTTGACCGTTAGCATTAGCAACTTCACCACACAACAAAACTCTTCCAGTTTTGTTTTATCTGTGGAGATATTTATGTTGCACAGCAAACAGTCATTGGTAGATTTGTGTTGCTGGTAGCCAATCAGAAGTGAGATGTCTAAATATCCTGCCCTCTGACCTGGCAATTTTCTAGTTCCTGAAACAGGTGCACCGGAGCTTTGTTTCTCCAAAGTATGACTAACAAGGCATTAATTCCTTCTAGTGACCACTGCAAATGGATTGATTAAACGAGTGTTCACCTTTAAATTCATAAACTTCCATAATGAGGGTTTTTTAATCAAACTTGGAACCTGATATGCTTACTGAGAGCACTCTGTTCGCCTTCATACATCTTTTTATCAATGTTTCAAATGAAAAAGTATTTTAATACCACAAAAAAACTTGTTCTTTCAATTTCCAAACAGAAGTCACATCTGATTCAGAGTTTTGTTTTTCTCACATAAAATCTGTTGATCATGTGTTGGTACTGTTCTCTCAAAGATGATGAGAAAGTTTTAAAAGTTTTGGAAAAAGTTTCCAAAAAAATTAAACAGAATTTGTATCCAATCTTTAAATCATTTTAGGTAAAAGTGAATAGATATTGGGTGTAGGGATGTGTATTGGTGAAATTCTGGCGATACGATACGTATCACGATACAGGGGAGACGATACAATGTATCATGATATATTGCGATATAGTCAAATGATATTAGCCATTTTTTGATCGACTTTATTGTAGAAAAATTCAATAAACAATCCAAACTGATACTTAGCATGTTTAACATGAGGTATCTGAACCATAATAGAGGGATTTACATTTCAATGGTGGAAAAAAGAAACATTGCACACTGCTGCCAACTAGCGGTCGGCGTTTGAATTTCACTAAAAGAAAAGAAAAAACACAAATGTTTGCATGTAAATTCTTCCAAAAATTAGATACACGGCTTTTGAATATCGATGTAATATTGCAGGGAAAATGTCACGATATATTGCCTTATCGATATTTTCTTAAATCCCTAGTTGGGTGGAACATGTGAGTTTTGAACTGAGAGGAATGAAATCAAAATCATTCTGTACAATATTTGCATGAATGTCACTATTCAAGCGATTTCATGTGATTTTGCATCTCAGACTAGTTTCTGATCCAAACATGTAGTTCATATTGCATTTTCCTTTTTGGCTTAAAACCAGAAAAGGGTTACGTCTCATGATTCAGTAAATAATCTCATCAGAGATGGTCACAAACGGACAAGCGGAGAACCAAACCCGACAGAATTACTGAGTTTTTGATGAGGTGCCATAATTACTGCGGAGGATCTGGACATGCTGTGATTAGACCAACACTTCCACTTGACTGTGATCAGGACTCCTCTCAGAGCCATTTCTGGTTTAATAGGGGTTTCTACTCCCTCATTTGGCAGAGATCTGTCACCGTACTGCTCAGATGTCGCTGTAAGAACCTTCCTGCAGGCTTCAAAATAATGACAAGTCTCTCTTAAAGATGGACGCCCCCGCCTCGGTTTGCTGTCACAACGGGAGCTCCATTAGACTTTAATCAGCGGCCTTACAAGCAGAAACTGCTGATGTGAGTCCAGTTTTGGAAGGACATTTGTCTCCCCCCACCCTCACACAGGTCAAAAGGTAACTCTAGCAAATCCAATCTGTAGAATAACCTGGAGCTGTTAATGTTGGGTTGTTTTCTACCTGCCTGCTGGAGTAAAGCCAAACTGGTGAAGCTCTGGGGCTTAAAAAGCTCTAATGATCATCAACAGTGTAATGGTCCTCATTAGTTAGATGGAGATAACAACTGAAAAATAAAACTTTATATATATGGTGAGTGAGAAAATGTTCACCGGGTGGCGTTGTCAGTTTTTTAATGGGTTTATTATAAAAGGTGCAAATGAGGGTTTAATGGAGTGTACCTTCATCCAAAATGTAACCTAAAATAACCAGAGGTCACGCTGCTAAATGGCTTTTTTACACCAGAGAACTGTGGCACGACTGAAGCGTGACAAATGGAGTGAGACAAGTTATGAAAGTGGGCGTTGAAGCGGGTGTTTTGGTTTGTGGAATCAGGCAGACGGACAGCTGATTGGACGGGAGAATGAAACACATCACTGCTAATTTTATTTTTTTTAAAGGCATTTGTTCTGTTGTTTTTATAAGGTTTCTTATTTTGTACCTCAGCTCCTCCTGCGACAGTAGGTGTGACAGCGCCCCCCAGTGTTCACTGCCTTCTTCCATACAGATACAGGAACCAGAGGAGGCTATGCAAGTGTTTGTGTATGTTACTATGAGTGACAAATATGTGTGTGTGTGTGCGTGTGTGTGTGTGTGTGTGTGTGTGTGTGTGTGTGTGTGTGTGTGTGTGTGTGTGTGTGTGTGTGTGTGCATGCGTGTGTGCGTGCTTGCGATTTGGGGGGCAGGAAATGTTCACCTTTAACACTTAATTTACTGCTTTCAGGTAATGTTATGCTTCATAAAACAACTTATAAAACCATAATTTTTAGCATTTGCATTCAACAATAACATTTTATTTACTTGTTTTGATGTTTTCTATCTGAAATGGCTGCTTTTTGTTTATTTTTCTACAAAGTTGTTATTGTGAAAGTGATACAAATCCAAAAAAACAAACAAAGCTTCATGTACAATAACTGTCGAGACTACATAATATCAATAATTTTTTATTATTTATCTTCTATATAAAATATTTAAATAAATGGAAAATCTAATATCTGAAGTTATTTGGGACAAATAAGACCATGATACAATGTAAATAAACATAAAAACTATTATAATCAAATTAAAAGAAAAATATTTTCTCTTTTATTCAACATCTCTATATTTTTTAGATTTATTTGTTTATTTATTTATTTATTTGGTTCAGGGCACTTTTCAATAAGATACAGGGATACTCGATCTGTTCTAGGCTTATAAGGAATTATCAGCACATTTATAAATCTCTATAAAGGTCAACTTTACTCGTATTTTATTACATTTGCAGTGGTCTCTAGTGGGAAGTCATTGGGAAAAAAAGCTCCAGTTTGCCTGTTTGAGGAAATAGAAGTCAGCCGTAGCTTCCTGATATTTGGACATTTTGCCTCTGATTAGCTAACAGCAACACAATTCACTGACTCTGATCGATTTGAAACGTTGATGATTTTTCTCCACAAATAACAAAAGCCTGGTGGAGTTCTGAGATGTGGTGGAGTTGCTAATGCTAACTGTTAGCTTCTACTAGTCGAGACGTTCTCTGGAATTTCTTGGATGCTAGGCAAACAACAGCCTCCCCCGTTGCAAGCCAAGATGGGAGAGTCCATGAATGTTAAGTGACGGATGTGACGTAGATCTGTCAGGATTTTTAAACGTTTCACCTTCTTTCTACAGCTTTTCTGACTCTAGCATTTTTCCATCTATTTTCTCTCAGAAGTTAATGCAGGAAATAGGGGTAGAGGACTATTTCATGAAAACAGAGTGACTGATTATTTCCAAACAGAAGTAAAATATGGTTTCTCAGTGAACTTAGTCTTTAACACATCTTTTCAGAATAAACAAAAAAAAAATTGTAAATGGCAGCTCAATTGTATCCTGAAAATAACTATATTGGTTATTTCTCCCTTCCCAACATGGCGGACCTGTTGATGTATTATTGCTGAATATCATTTATGTCTAAAATGTTCTCGTCAGGTTAGTGTGTGAAGCCACAGAATGAGCAGAGAACACACTTTTTAAACCAGCCTGTAACTGGGTTAACAACTGGTGTAGCAGAATATTACTTTTGCTTTAGAAGCAGCTGCTGCTTTGTGCCACCTCCATTAACTGCAGCAGAAACAGCTTTAATGTTCGTTTTAATTATGCAACCCTTCCAGTAATATAATAATCCACTTTTCCACCTTTATCTGACCAAATTACTCCACACTGATTAGCAGCAGAGCTCGCATTAATTCCTCACAAATGAGACTTCAGACTCACAGAAAATTGTCTTCACATTTCAAATTAATGGTCTTTTCAATCTAATTATAATTCTGATACAAACCCAGTAAAACACAAAGCTCAGCTATACCTTCATTCAGATTAGTAATAGTAAATTCTTGTTTATTTTGCAGTTTGTGAGCTTTGAAGTTGTAGAGAATAGAGTTCTGATGGGTAACCTCAACAGCCTGTGGAGTGTATTTTTTTGTATTATTCACTCAAAAAAGTACTTGAAAAATAAGGTTGAAAGCAAATTTTGAAAAACTGCAAACAAAAAAAAGATTCAACAAAAAAATTATCTCTAAACATTTATTTGCTTCATTACAAATAAAATATAATAGTTTGAATCAAAACATTGTGATTTCAAAAAGTAATTTAAAAACTGGAAATTTGGTTTGGGCAGCTCCGTTTTTTGCCCTGAAAAGGTGGTGTTTCTCGTGGATGATGGAAAAAGTTTCTTCAGACAGTGAGGTGGACCAAACACCGATTTGAACGTGCAAATGTAAAAATTTGTTCTCCAAGGAAAGAAATCTGATGCATTTTATTTGATTTCATTGTTTATTTTTTATTTCATATATTCAGCCTTGATAAAGAATATTGTTATTTATTTAACATATCATATATTTTTGGTTTATTTATGTAACAAACATCAAATGTTTGCCATCATTTGCATCAGTTAAATATTTATTCTAATGGCATTTTTTTACTGTGAATTGAGGCCCGAAGATATGTTTAAACACATCTCTACCTTCCGATTAAACAAAATGAGAGAATTTCTACTGCAATTAGTTTGATTTGTAATTAATTAGCAAACCAAATATAAACAAATCAACATGTATTGTCTGTAGTTAACCTGAATCACTTAGTCAACAGATGAACCTTTTTTTTTTGTTTTGTTACTTTTGAAGGAATCATTCGATAGTTTTGTTTCATAAAAGCTCTATTAAACTCACTGAAAACGTGAAAGTGTAAAACTTGATCCCGTGCCACATCTCTTCTATACGTTGCGTGTCATGTGGAAGCGGTAAACAGGCGTGTCTTCAGCCTACAAACCCTCTATCCATCTACATACATGTCATTCAGCTCGGTGATGTTTTTCACCAACGCTTCTTTTCTTTTATTTACCTTGAACTCAGCAGCGTTTCCATTCTGCGCTGTGTAAACACCAGTTAATAAATCAGCTGGCCACTGCACCCTGGGGCTTAACAATCCCTTATTTACTCCCCGTCAGCTGCAGTCAAGACAAAACCTCTTTACCGCAAAGTGATGGATCTGCTCTTGTCCTCTTGTGTAAAGTCGTGCATCAAACTCCATCATCCGGAAGGGAAGCAGCTACGGAGAGCATCAGAGGCGGAACTATAAAAGGAGTAAGATCCAAATCACCTCCTCCTTCAGGTAACCCGAGAGCAGCAGGTCACTCTTCTTCCTCATCGGCTACTGATGACATCAGCAGTTTCATCTGAGAAGAAAATTCAGTCTTCACTGTATGTATCTTTGTTTTGATTTATTATCCCCCTTTATGAAACTGACAGTGATCTATAATTTCTTACACATTTAAGATTGTTATTTTATTTCCAGGATGATTTGTTCAGCCTAGAAATAAATAAAACATCTATTTTACCATATTTTTTAAAAAAGTTTAAACCATTTTCCTTCTTTACACAGAAGCCTCTGATTTGCCATCAGGGAAAAAAATGTTTCTAGTGCTGATTTGCATCTTAATGCTGCAGGACGTGCATGCTGCCTGTATTGTGGTGAGTGTCGCTATAGGTCTTTAATTATTATTGCACAAGGCTATACATTTTTCTGAAGGTTAACAAGCAATGAAACAATTAGGAACTGGCACGAATACAAAAGTCTGATCACAAAAAATAATAGAAAGATGTTTGTGAGAATATTTCATGCCCAGAGGTGATTTCTAGGGTTGTAAATTGTGTTTAAAGGAGTACGTTGTTAAATCCCCACAGGAATTATAAATGTATACTGAAAACACAAAAGTTGAGTTTAATCCTAAAACTTTTGTCTGAATATCGAGCAAAATGTGTGCAGAATTTCTCTTCATTTTCACAAATAGAAAATCTGAGTTTGCCATCAAGTTTTGTTAGAAAAAAACAAAATACATTTTTTTTAAGTTTGGATTCTTGTGAGGAGATCTTTTAGACTCAGTTAGCATTTAAGTTTCACTCTTTGGATCACGTGCGGTGAAAACGCAAAAGTTCTATTTGATGTTTGAAAACAAAAATGAATTTGAATTGAAACACAAGCTTGCTTTTAGCAACCCCTAGTGTGCTTCATTAATTTACTGTGGTCAAACCGAAAATGAAACTTATTTGCACATTCGTCTTTTTAACAGCTGAAATGTTTCCTCAGCCTTCATTAGTGTCTACGGAAGCGATTCATCACTAAATCAAACAAATCAGCTGTGTTCACGGTCTAGAGAGCATGCAGGGAAATGTGCTGGAAGCAGACTGCCACAGTGACATGGCAGCTCCACTTTACTAAGTCAATCAGGAAGTGGATTGGAAACCCTGAAGTTGCAAGTGTGGTATTATGGTCACAGGTGGGGTCTGAGTGACATTTCATTAACCCTGTAAAAGATTCTTTTGGCACATAGTAGCTCAAAAAAACTATTTAAAAATTTGAAAAAGTTGCATTGCATCCCTTTAAAATATGCTGCTTATTGTTAAAGTTTTTAGTCGAGATTTTTTTTAAACGGTGAAAAAGTTAAATAGGTGAATTCCTTTCGCACAAACATCATTGTAGTGTTGACTTCTCTTATCTTCAGTTTAACGTGGTGATAATTAGCTAAAAAATGTAAATGGTAAAGTATATGCATTAGATAAAAAGCGCCTTCTAGGGTTTTACAACCCCCCAAGGTGCTTTACAACACAAAACGAGGAACTTTATAACAAAGTAAGAGTTTTAAAAATTTCATAATGTCAAACAAACACCTCAGACATCGTTTTGCGTTGGGGTGACGGTGGCACAGGAGTTAAGTGCTCGCCCCCATAATCGGAAGGTTGCAGGTTCGAGCCCCGCTCATTCTGTCGCTGTCATTGTGTCCTTGGGCAAGACACTTAAACCGCCTTGCCTGCTGGTGGTGGTCAGAGGGACCGGTGGCACCAGTGCTCGGCAGCCTCGCCTCTGTCAGTGCGCCCCAGGGCAGCTGTAGCTACATTGTAGCTCATCCCCACCAGTGTGTGAATGTGTGTGTGAATGGGTGAATGACTGATTGTGTTGTAAAGCGCTTTGAGGGGTTCCAGGACTCTAGAAGGCGCTATATCAAATACAGGTCATTTTCGATCTCAGAAAAACATAAATCTTTTCTAAGAATCTGTTTCCAGGAGAAGAAAAAAGCGACATTGTTTCTTCTAAATGATTTGTAGTCAATGCAGAATATCTTTCTGTCTTTATTCAGATGACTTAACATTTATATCTTCTTGTCTTCACATGCCTTCTGCTGCACATCACCATGTGTCCACAGCAAGGTGAGCAACACGTTGGGTCCAGCTGGCACGCTCTGCTCCCGTTTTTCTTTTGTTTTCATCATCAGCTGAATCTCTGCCAGCGTGGCTCCCAGACGGATGACAGGATTTGGATTTGTTCTGTTTGTTTTCTTTTGTTATTTTGAGTCATTTCAGAGGAATTAGACCAGGATGTGTTTGAGAGTCAAATCTTAAGCCACCAGAGTAAATATCACTCCTTATTGTGAACCTAATCTGCTGTTTACACATGGGATTTTAACGTGTGTGTTCTGTGTTCATGCAGATGTTTGCCCTGAGAACACTATGGTGCAGGCTGAGATCGTAGACGTGCACAACGACTTCAGGAGAGCAGTAGATCCATCAGCCGCCGACATGCTGATGATGGTCAGCCCCTTTGTTCCTCCTCAGATAATCAAAGCAGCTCAGATGACATTTGCTTATTGTATTCATCAAATTGAACTGCAGCACCTGAGCTCCACAGCAGCTCCTGAAATCAAAGCCAGAGGCTGATTTATGAAGTTTAATCAGATGTTTTTTCCATGGTTTAAAGTGGTTCTAGATTTCAAATCTGCATTTACCTTGTTGTTGAATATAGTCAGCTTGGGGTGTCTACCAAAGTCTGTGCCATCTCTGATCTGCATTACTAAGTAAATCAGTAATGCTGTAAAATTAGATACATACCCATAAATATGCATGTTCCAGTTCCCATCAATGTAACATTATATAAATGTTGATGGTAGTGATGCTAACCGCAGAACAACGCTAGCCTGAGCTACTGCTAATGCTAGCCTGAGCTACTGCTAACGCTCCAGTTCTTTCATGTACGATTGATAGATCCATAGCTTGCCTATTGAGTTACCCGGATACTCTACGGATGAACGAAAGTTTCTAGATTCAAGCAGCAAAGTCATCAGGGTAAAGGGTCCAATCAGCATGCAGATCATTTAATATTCATGTCCTGACTCAGCAGGCAGGGCAAAGAAGTCTTTCCATTGTAGGGCTTTATTACGTGGTTGTGTTTGGCTGTTTATCTGGCTCCTGGGTCATTGTGATCACCAACAAAAGCTTACAGCTCTTTTCCAGCGGCACTTCTCAGCGTGACTTGGATGGGGCGGTTCAGTTTGGCAGCCTTTTCCAACAGCACGGTTTGGAGAAGTTACCCCCCAAGTTTCCCTCAACTTTTCAGTCAGTGCTTCATTGTGGTTCCCAGCCTGCTGACCCGGTCTGGAAATGCCACTGTTGGCCACTGGTTGGCCAGGGGGTGAAGTCACTGGTTGCTCCAGATCTCACTGGTTGCTGCCTAGCCTCCTGCAGCGTTTTTCTGGTTCAGATTCTGTCAGTAAGCCCGAGACTGAACTCAATGTTCAAGATCGTTGGCATTTTTGTGCTGTGCTGAGTTTATGTGTAGCATACAGAACACTGCCTATTATGTATTTTCTTGAGCCGCTAAAGATGGGATTGAGTTCTATTTTTACCTCTCCCAGTGTGTACTAGCACGCAGCAAAGGTTGCAAGTAAACCGTTCCGCTGCCGCTCCGCTGATGTTTCCAGTGGGGTTACATGTAAATAAACACATTTTCACAGCAATTTCCTATCAACGCCTTTCAGAGACAATCAGACCTGTCTCTCATACTTTGTAGCTGGCAGAGGCCCTGTCTTGTGAAGGTTGTCAAGAGGTCAGAGGTTTTGAGACATTTGTAACAGATCGACTTAGTGATGGTTAAAACCTTAAAAAACATCTCTCTCAAAGCTTTGGGTGGACTATGTCTAAACCTTTTGTTTTCCAGACCTACAGTGAGGAGTTAGCAGAACACGCTCAGGCCTGGGTTAATAACTGTACTATGAAACACGGACCACCCAGTGCCCGCATGATTGACGGTACATTTGCCTTTTTTCTAGGTTCTTTTTGTTTTGATCACATCTTCAGATACCTGCGATATTACGTCCATCTTTGTAAAGGTTCCATTTGCACCGCCTGCTGTTGGGATGAACGGCTGCAGACGCACTGAACACTATCTCATCTGCACTCTTAATGCTCTCTTTTAAATCACACTGTGGAAAAAGATTTATCATAATAAACAAATCAAATCTTTTTAATGAACCCTGTTTTATCTAAATAGTATCATCTACTGGGAGATGAAAACCAATCTTCCATTAATCAGTACTGTTGTGTTTCCCCCCATTAACCAGGATATGAAGTAGGTGAGAATCTGTTCTTCTCACCCTCTCCAACCTCGTGGAAGAGTGTCATCAATGCCTGGTATGACGAGAAGTCTCATTATGTTTACCCTAATGGCTCCAGAGATGGAACACGCATCAATCACTACACACAGGTAAGACTATACCGTTCTATATGGCTGGTATTTAAAATTATCTCTTTTTATGGAAGTTTTTTTTGTTCAGAAATCATGAAGGGTTATAAATGAGTAAAAAAAACAACACCTTTAGGATTCAGGGTCGTGCTGATGTCACTGTTACATAGTTATGCAGCTTTTAGCAGTCTTTGTGTTTTATAGATTTCCTCGTTTCCTTATTATTACCAAGCACCTAAGTGATAGTCTGGCCAAGACCCATAGACTGGTCTCCTTCGTGGGGTGGGGTCTATGGTATTCTTTCAAAATGTCTCTGCATACTATTGGACAACAGACAACATGGCATACCCAACGCTACAGATGTCAGTCAATGAGGCAGTTCGACATACACTGTTGAAGAAGACACAAACACATCGTTTTTCTAAACAAACTTAAATACATCTATCTGCATTTGACTCAAAGAAAACCCCAAGTCTAAAAAGTCCGAAGTTGATGCCAAAGCTGCTTCAAAGGAGCCGCCACCATCTTTGTTTTATTGTTTAGTCGCAGTAACATCCTGCCCACCAAACCGATAGTGCTCCGTGATTGGAAAGCCACAAGACTGTTCAGGCCTGCTGAGGCTCCTATAGAGCGTGGCAAAACCCACATGCAAAGCAAAAATTTGTTATGCTTTGGCTACTGCTGTCTAGAATTCCAGCCAGCAAACCACTACTGTTGAAGAGAAAATGTGTAGTTTTAACCATGAATTTTTGGAAATATCCATCAAAATGTTATTGAAAATGAATTAAATGATGCCCAGTTGTTGAAAAATATGGGCGGCTTTGTAACATATAACCATAAACATCTGCCGACTGTGCAAAAACCTAGTTTGGATGTCCTACAGACGTGGTCTGGACCGACGGACTCAATATAGACATGATCTGCATGTCCATGTGACGTTGACTGTTTGCAGGGTGGTCTAAAATACATGGAAGTGGGTCTCAGTCTCTGGGCAACGCCATAATAGACGCCATAATTCCTTCTACGGGAGTCCATGAGGACAAAATGCATTTACGGAGTTGTAACAAATGGTTACAAAACTTTTGTCATTCTTAAATGTTATTGATTTACAGATTTACCTCTTCACTTGCTGCCAGTGAACCAGAGCTGGGAGGCCTGGGGATGGACTGTCCGATCTCGGGGGCAGAAGTTGCTGAGGTAGTCAAACAACTACACAGCGGCGGAGCCCCGGGGGCGGATGAGGTTCGTCCTGGGTATCTCAAGGCTATGGATGTTGTAGGGCTGTCATGGTTGACACGTCTCTACAACATTGCGTGGTCATCGGGGGCAGTTCCTAGGGAGTGGCAGACCGGGGTGGTGGTCCCCATCTTTAAGAAGGGCGACCTGAGGGTGTGTTCCAACTATAGGGGGATCACACTCCTCAGCCTCCCTGGAAAGGTCTACTCCAAGGTACTGGAGAGGAGGGTCCGATCGATAGTTGAATCCCAGATAGAGGAGGAGCAATGTGGTTTTCGTCCTGGCCGTGGAACTGTGGACCAGCTCTATACCCTTGCAAGGGTGATGGAGGGGGCATGGGAGTTTGCCCAACCAATCCACATGTGCTTTGTGGATTTGGAGAAGGCTTATGACCGTGTCCCCAGGGGCACCCTGTGGGGGACGCTCCAGGAGTATGGGGTGGGTGGCTTTCTGTTAAGGGCCATTCAGTCCCTTTACCAGAGGAGCGTGAGTTTGGTCCGCATAGCCGGTAGTAAGTCGGACCTGTTCCCAGTGAGGGTTGGACTCCGCCAGGGCTGCCCTTTGTCACCGGTTCTGTTCATCACTTTTATGGACAGAATTTCTAGACGCAGCCGTGGTGTGGAGTGTGTCGAGTTTGGTGGCAGGAGAATCTCGTCTCTGCTTTTTGCGGATGATGTGGTCCTCCTAGCTTCATCCAGCTCTGACCTTCAGCTCTTGCTGGGTAGGTTCGCGGCCGAATGTGAAGCGGCTGGGATGAGGATCAGCACCTCCAAATCTGAGACCATGGTTCTCGACCGGAAAAGGGTGGCTTGCCACCTCCGGGTCGGGGGAGAGGTCCTACCTCAAGTGGAGGAGTTTAAGTATCTCGGGGTCTTGTTCACGAGTGAGGGTAGGAGGGATTGGGAGATCGACAGGCGGATTGGTTCGGCGTCTGCAGTGATGCGGACGCTGAGCCGATCTGTCGTGGGGAAGAGGGAGCTGAGCCAGAAAGCCAGGCTCTCGATTTACCGGTCGATCTACGTCCCAATCCTCACCTATGGTCATGAGCTCTGGGTAATGACCGAAAGAACGAGATCGCGGATACAAGCGGCTGAAATGAGTTTCCTCCGTAGGGTGGCCGGGCTCAGCCTTAGAGATAGGGTGAGGAGCTCGGACATTCGGGAGGGACTCGGAGTAGAACCGCTGCTCCTCCGGATCGAAAGGAGCCAGTTGAGGTGGTTTGGGCATCTGGTCAGGATGCCTCCTGGACGCCTCCCCGGGGAGGTGTTTCGGGCATGTCCTGCCGGCAGAAGGCCCCCGGGTCGACCCAGGACACGTTGGAGAGGTTACATCTCCAATCTGGTCCGGGAACGCCTTGGGGTCCTGCCGGAGGAGCTGGTGGACAAGGCCGGGGAGAGGACGGCCTGGAGCTCCCTAGTTGGGATGCTGCCCCCGCGACCCGGACCCGGATAAGCGGAGGAAGACGAGACGAGACGACGAGACGAGACTTGCTGCCAGTGATGAAAGGGAGTCTGAGGCGCTTGTTATTTAGCTAAAGATTGCACTCCCCAGGGCTTTTTGACCGTAGTGGGCATCCGTTGGTAACGGCTTCCTCCAACGCAAAAATACTACTTGCTTGCAACAATTTAGGTATCTACTGCCCCCTATCGCCAGGAAAAATACACACTGTGACTTTAAGAAAAAAGTTCCAGATGTTAGAGTTGCTTTAGATGAGGAGACTTCAAACATGCTCAACTCTTCAACCTTGATTTGTCTTTTGTATTTTGTTATTAATTTGGTGCAAATAGTTACAATAAAATCTAAATTAATAAACAATGTAAAAGTATATTTAAAAAATGTAATATTTGAATCGTTATGAAGTTTAGCCTTGTTTAAATGTTGTGCATGTTTCAAATAATTATAAGAACTAAATATCTACCATGTGGTTAACTTTGTAGTTAAGTTCAAATAAGTAAGAATTAATTATATTTCTAGAAAAATTATGTTATATAAATGCAAGTAAAAATATATATCACTGGGAGTGAATTAATATTAAATTGCACATGAATTAATTTAAAGGACTATAATAGATAAGATTTAATTGTGGGTTATTTAGATGCAATTTAGCCCAAGATTCTTTTTAAACAACTGAAGCAGTTTGCTCATTAGGAGTGGGCCAAAATACCTGCTGAGAGGTACAGAAGTGTCTTTGACAGTTACAGGAATCATTTTGATGACTTTCATTGGTTAAATTTCATAGAATTTTTATTTATTATTACTTTAGTCAGATTCAAGTTATTTGTGTGACCATGGTGAGTTTTTCTTTCATCGAGGGTACCAACAATTTTGTTTACGGCTGTTTCGATGAAAACACGTAGATAGTGTAAATCTTTATAGATTTTCTGAAACTGATTATTCTTTTTTGTGTTTCAGCTGATTTGGAACAGCTCGTACAGAGTTGGCTGTGGACTCAACCTGTGCAACAGCACCTATTTCTATGACTGTCGTTATTATCGAGCGTACGTGACGTCACTCACACCCATGAATCCCACAACGATCACACTGCTCATGTGATTTATGCAAGTTTAAAAGTGAAATAACATGACTCCACTTTATCTTTTCTTTGTTTTTCAAGTGGAAACTTTAAAAGATGGCCACCTTACAAGCTTGGAAAGCCATGTGCTTCCTGTCCAAACAACTGTGTGGACAATCTCTGCAGTAAGTAATAAGAATGAGAGTTCCAATGATTTCTAACAGTTGGATAACCTGTGGTTTTGTTTTGTTTTGTTTTCCAGCCAATCCCTGTCCTTACATAAACAAATACATCAACTGTCCCAAACTGAAGAACACCACCGGCTGCAGCAACGAGCTGGTGTCGGCCTGGTGTCCAGCTTCATGCAATTGCAGCTCTGAGATTATTCCAATCTATTAAACTCTAATAATCCCAACATGTGTCTGTAGCTGAAACAAACCAGGATTAGATTAGTCTGATCTAAACAAGATGATCCTAATCATAGTTAGTGAAAAAAAAACATAAAAGACAAAAAAAAAAGGATTATCTAACATTTCTTTAGAAATTGTTCAGTAGTGATTCAATAAAATTATAGCAAATTAATTGACTGGCTTGATACATTTTTTTATGTTTTAATGAATTTTTAAATAGCATTGTGTGACTCATCATTTTGTGATTTTATCAAGTTGAAAATTTAGAGAAATTTTCATTATTTGCAAACTTTCTGTAATAAAGCTTCTATAGAGAATCTATAGAACAAGCTATGTTTTGAACACAGACACGGTCACAGAACACTCACCGCTCCCCTCGGGTATCTTCTCTAAGACGCTTTTGCCAGAACTGGAAACTAGCATTACCAGAGGATACGAGATAGAGCTAAACACCAGTCGCCATTTACTAGGACCAAACATCTTTTGTTGTCCGTCACTTCAAATGGTGTTTTTCTTTTTGGGACTCTGGTTTGTCCTAAAGTTGATGTGGTAGCGGCAGCTCACAGATTAACGAAGAAGGACGTGACGTCGCAAACAGCGGCAAGTTTTGGAGAAGACTGCAGTCGTGGTCGAAACGTCAGCAAAAAAAGGGTAAAACATCTCTTCTCTTAAAAAATTGAACCACGTCATGCTGTTAGAAGAGACGCAGAGAATGAATGCACAAAAGAAGGTAGCAGCCAGCTGTTTCTCCTCCTCGGATATTATTGAGTGGAGAACCTCTCACATCAGTGGTGTTCTGTTGCTAGATACACAGGTTCGTAATGAGTGGAGGACCCAGGGACGTGTGGCGGTTCGGCAAGACCAACAACCAGATGAGCCAATGGTTGTAGTCCGAAACGTGCTATTGGCAGTGGTTTTTAGACAAATGTGAGAGAACCATTTCATTTTTTTAAAATGTATTTATAGCTATACCATGTTAGAATTTTGCATCAAAGAGGCATGAAATAATGTTTTAAGCAATTTTTTATTTCCAAATTTGACATTGTAGCTTTAATAACAGATAAACACCTTTAGTTTATCTGATGTGAGTTTAATCAGTATAACTAAGGTAAATATTGCGTTAATACCCATTAAATGCCACCATTTGTTTCAGCTAAAATTAGATTAATTTTTTCTCTTTCAAAGATGTTTTACTCTTCAGATACTTTAAATGTATTCAACAACTGAAACAATAAACCTTTTTCTAACTACCGGTAGTTAAATCTTTAACATAAAATAATTCAACAATAAAACAAAAAAGTAGGCATTTTTCTTCCAACTTTGTTATAATTAAGTGTTTTGGGTTTTGATATCCCAAATTCAGAATGCATCTTCAAATAAAAAATCAGTATTCAATAACAAAATCCTTAGAAATTTTCACCTAAAATACTTGAGGTTTAAAGGGGCATTATGGCAGTTTGACAGCCAAAACATGTATAGAAATAATAAATTTCTTCTTCATACATTCTCCTGCAATGCCCGGGTCCTGTAAAATGAGCCCTGGCATTTTTACTGTGATTGCCTGTTTTTCTGTAAAATCACAGAAAAAGAGAGCCGCTCGGGTCGAGCAGGCTGCTTCATGCGCGTTCACGCTCAGGCATAGCCCTCCAAACCGTTCTTAAATGGTACAGATGCAAATGACGTCACGCGTTAGCTTGCCTAGTAAGATGGCGAACTTTCGTGCAGAAAACCCGGGTTCGATTTTGGATGTGAACATAGTTCATTTAGAGTTTATTTCTTACATTAATGGTATATTTTTTTACAGTAAGCTGCCCAAATTGTTATTTGAGACTGTTACACAGTGAAGTGTAGTGAGGACAAAAGAAACATGATGACTTGGTCGATAGACAAGGAAAACCAGTTTTATTTCCTCTGGTCCGAAAAACAAAATCAGAAAATCCCAGCACTATTCAAAATGGCCACCCATCCAACTCTCTTAGCAGTCTCTGTCACTTTCAGAGAGGAAAAACGACTGGTTTTCCTTGTCTATCGACCAAGTCATCATGTTTCTTTTGTCCTCACTACACTTCACTGTGTAACAGAGACTCGCCGAACGGCATTGAATTCACAGATAAAAAAGATGTGGGTTCAACTTTCATTTTGGAACAATTTTTCAAGAGCATGCAGGAGGACTGACCCATCTTAAACCTTTGTCGGCTGTGCTGAAGAGAAAGGTACAGAACCAAATTATGTAATTAATTAGTTGCGCGTTCTCCTGTCCTCTGTCCTCCAGGCCACACACACACACACACACACACACACACACACACACACACACACACACACACACACACACACACACACACACACACACACACACACACGAAGCTGACTGTCTCAGCTGTTATTTTCGTTAAGGAGTGTGCACGTACAGTCTGCGCGCCTCGTGCACGAGCCTACTATTGAAGCTGCCATTACGCTTTTGGCCTGAGGGGGCAATCGCGAGCATAAAAATTCAAAACTCTGTTAAGTCCCTTTAAGAATGGTAGGAACAAAATTGTTGAAATTTTATAAATTAAGTTAGTTCAAATATGCTTCAATAATTCCGTAAATCTGAGGAGAGTTTTGTTTAATTTTTAAAAAGTCTATTTATTATTGTCGCCATCTATGGATGTTAATGTGGAGTGAAGTGCCTTGAGACGATTCTTGTCGTGATTTGGTGCTATATAAATAAACTTGAATTGAATTGAATTCTGCCAACCATACTGGGAAGCAAAAACAAATGCAAAACAACAACTGATCTTCAAAAATATATCTGGACTTACATTCATAAATTGTGACATAACCCAATTTACTGTCATCCAGTTTAGATCATCCCGGACAAGCCCCCAATTTGTTCGAGAAATGAAAACACTAAAAAAGTAAAATACAAAACCCCATCAAGCCAACAAAACCAGTTATCTCTAGGCTTTTATTATGGACTCACAGGCACCTTTAAATTAAAAGTGTAACACTATTATTATCATTATTATTATTATTATTATTACTAGTTGTAGAAATAGTAGTAGTAGTAGTAGTAGTAGTAGTAGTAGTAGTAGTAGTAGTAGTAGTAGTAGTATAACTGACTATAAGATTTGTCTTTCTGGATTCATGTCATACCTGCAGCTACTCTGATAATCTCAGATTAGAATCACTTATAGGACATTTCTGTCAGGTCTAACTAGTGTTTCGTTTTGTCTTCATATTATTTATTCCCAATAAAAAACTTCAGTGATCTTGCACCTGGAAAGCACACAGAATGAGCTATATAAATACATGATCTCTCTGCAGCAGGATTTTCTTCTCACAACTCAATAAAATCAGACAAATGATGTAGTGCTATTTATTATTTTGGTCCAGAAGAGTCTCTGAATTCTTTTGTCACTGTCACTTAAGACAAACTTGATTAACTTTCAAACTTTCAAAAGAAGATCTGCCAAATAACACATTTTGTTTCACTTTTCATTTACAGTTTTTTTTAAGTTTTATTGATTGATGAAATCTAAATTTTTATCTTGAAATTTTCACATTTAAATGCACAGGAAAGTCATGGAGCACACAGCTCATGTTAAGTACAACTGAACTAGTTTGCAAAACTTGCTGAAAAGAATGTTTGCAAACACTTTTCTGCAACAACACAAAGTTGCTCCAACACTTAACTGTTAACACATTAAAATACAATGACAACAAGAAAATTACTGAGGCGCGTTAAAAACAGGATTCTGTTAATATCACAGTCGCATTCTGTTGGTTTTTATGTTTTGAGAAGAGTTCAAGTTTAATGACATTATTCAGTACTTTGATTTTTCTCTAATAAAAACAATAGACATGATGACTGAACTAACAAAAGCACGGCCTTGTTTTTGTGTCTCAGGAATAAAACTGCACAGAAAAACATACTATAATGGATAATGAAACATTTCCTGTTGTGACCTGCAGAGGGCAGTGTTTTCCAGTGTAACCCTTTTCTTCTGGACAACACAATTTCTCTGATTTCATCTGAATGCAAAGTGTTATCAGTAATATTTTAAATAATGTAGTGCAGGACTCATCAATCATGGTCCTGGAGGACAACCTACCTGCACCAACATACCTGGATTGAACCAGTGGACAATTACCAGGCTTTGAAGACAGGTAGAAGTGATTCATTGAATCAGGCGTGTTGGAGCTAAAGCATGCAGGGCAGGGTTAGTTTCTTGATGTCAGAGTTCACCGATTGGTTTTCTGACACATTATGTGTGACTAATAGGTGACTGTCCGCCTTAACCACAAGTCGTGACTTCCCTTGGGGTTGGAGGGTGTGATCTTATTTTCATGAGACATAACAGCACAGGAAGCAGTGTTTACTTCATCACATTCATTAGCTCATTTTCTTCAAGTCCACATGAGGAGGGAGGTCTGACATGCAACTTCACTTGTGTCACATGAATGAGAGTCGTCACATCTGACCCCCAGCACATCTGTCAGCAACGTTATGGTAAATGTTAGTCAGATGTTTTCTTTAAACATGTTCAAGTTTAGACTTTTATTAAATCCTCTTTTATATGATACGTGTAGTACCAAATGCTTGTGATGCAGCTTTACTCAGCAGGTTTTGTGCATTTTGTCAACTTTGCTAATTCTTGCACATTTCAAAGAAACCTTTGTCTTGTGCGCTTGTTTTGTGTTTACGGTTTTGCATGCAGGATGTTGTGCAAACAAATATATGGTGGGTTGAGCAATCTCTGACCTTTGTGAAACTTTGTGACAATTTTAATATTTTTTCTGACAAACAAACTTAAATGCAACAAGTTTTATTTGAATTAACCCTCCCACTGTCCTAATAGGTGTGACCCCGCGATGAAAGTTGACCATTGAGGAGGGTTGATGGTTTATCCCTTGGGTCCATGTGGCAGGGGTGAGGAGTGAGCACCACCTGACCCCTGCCACATGGACCTCAAGGGATAAACCATCAATCCTGCTCAATGGTCAACTTTCCTCACGGGGTCACACCTATTAGGACAGTGGGAGGGTTAAGAGTTGCTGTGGATGCATTTCTTTTGAAACTCAATTTGCTATTGTTTCTTTTGTTTATTATTGTTTTATGGACTTAAAAAAATGATGTCCTAAAGGTGAGTTTGTTTTATCTTTTCAGTAACATTGGTATTGCAGTTTGTCTGTTTCATTTATTCCTGAATGGATAAACTCACTTTAAAACGTTCAATATTTTACTTTTCATGACTTTTACATGCAATAAAAAAATTGCAATCATAATCAAGCTTTATCATTTAAAACTTTTGCTTAGAAGCTTTTGTGTTTTTTCTGATTTTTCTGTAAAGTTTAATGTTGAGCCTAATTTAAACCCATGAGTGTGTAATAAACATTGACATTGGTGCTGTACTGAATCCCTATTTGTGTTTTGCTTCTAGTCTCATCAAAAACTATTTGGTTTATTACTACTTGTAGTATTTTTTTTTACATGCATTAATTTTATTTGTGAGCATTTTATCAGATTTCTAAACTTTTATGCAGAAACATTTGTTTCTGGAGAAAATTACTGTTGTTTTGCATTTACCGTGTCTTCATTAAAGACCAAGTTGTCTTGTTTTTTCCCCCCATACATTTACATTAAATAAACACATTGTGACGATCTCTGTGGGATAAAATCTCTAGCACTCCTCTTTCAGGAACTAGAAGTGAGCCAGAGGAGAGATGAGCAGACAACAGCTTATGTCCTGATACTCGGACATCTTGCCTCTGATTGGCTAACAGCAACGTGACTCTACCACTGACTCAGTTCGCTTTGCAATGTTGATGTTTTATCTTCACAAATAAGCCTGAAAGAGTTCTGCCATGTTGTGAAGTTGCTAATGCTAATAGTTAGCTTTTACTAGCCAAGATGTGCTCTGCTCTCTCCTGGATGCTAAATAAACACAGCCCTCTTGAGTCCATGAGTGCAAATATGATGTGGAATTGACTAATCCAAGCATTTCTGTCTATCTTCTATCAGTGGCTAATACAGGAAACAGGGGTAGAAGACTCTTTTCACTAGCCTGGCAAGCTTTTCTACATATATGAGTACTCTGGCCTCAACCCAAAGGGAAAGTTCAGTCCAGGGCGGATCTACGGTTCTCTTTCAAACTGCCTCCTGTTGGATAACGAAAAAGATGGCGTACTCACCACTACAGATGTCAGTCAACAGGGCAGTCCCATGTACTATGTCGAAAGGGACAAACACATCCTCTTTCTAAATTAACTTAAAGGTGTGGCTGACTGAAAAAAAAACAATTTTTTAAAATGTTATTTCTGATTATAATCCATCACTCTGAGTTTTTCATGCAGGATGAACATGAAAACAGTCTCCTACACCTATCTCCCGCAATAGCTTCTGATAGAAAATAGAAGGCAGCCTCGCCTCTGTCACTGCGCCCCAGGGCAGCTGTGGCTACATTGTAGCTCATCACCACCAGTGTGTGAATGGGTGAATGACTGGTTGTGTTGTAAAGCACCTTGGGGAGTTCCAAGACTCTAAAAGGCGCTATAGCAAATACAGGCCATTTACTATTTACCAAGGGGGGAGTGGGACAAAAATTCCTAGCGGAAATGTCTTCTTATCATATATAGCACTCTTAGCAAGGGAAAACACGGTGCCTCAGCCTGCTCAGTTCTGTGGTGTGTGGGGGTGTGGTGGGGGGAGCAGATCGACCGATAACAACGTAATTTCCTTCATTTTGGTTTATAGCGGATTACATAAACAAACCGTAACCTTGGAAGTCTCGAGGGATCATGTGATCTTGAGGAGGTGGGCAAAAGTCTCGAATGATTTTGTGATCTCATGAGTCAAGCGAGGAGCACGGAGAAGCTGCTTCACTGCTGAAACTTTGTGCACCGGAGTGCAGTGATGGTTGCAAGTAAACCGTTCTGCACTGTTGATGCTTTCAATAGTGATGTGACATTCACGAACTAATGAAATATTTTGAACGGGTTTTCAAAGTGAATGATGAGAGCGGAGTCCCTGTTGAGAGCCGTTCATCTTAACAAACCTCCCCGGAAGTCGGTCAAACTCACCCGCTCAAACCCCACCCACTGCTGTGACGGGCATAGGAGGAATCATTGATATGTATATAAACATGTGTTTATATACATGTCTATGGGAGGAACGCTAACCAACCCTGTGCACACTCACGGACACCGCAGGAAGACACTGCTGTACGGCTCTTTGAGGTAACGACCGACTAATGAACGGCTTCCATGAAAGAGCCATAAATCCCATCACTAGCTTTCAGTGTGCAGCTGGAATTACAGTGAAGCGGCTCATTCTGGAAGGTACTGAAACTGTCAAGAATAAATCACTTCATGTGAGAGTTAGTGCAAAGAACTTCATGCCCATTTATTGTATCAATCATAGAATTATAATAACTTAATATGTTCCTTTTAAAATGTGCTGTAATGTTTAATTTGGCGCCTAACATAAAATAAGCCATGAGTTTGTAATAAACATGGACACAGGTGCATCAACCCATTAAACCAGTGAAAAAAGGGCGGTTCTTCGTGCGCGTTCACGAGACATACACAACTTTGTTCCCTGGAAACGGCTCTTCTTGGTGACGGACTGCCGAATAGTAGCAACTCAACGCGGATTAAACCGCCTCAAAACTTCACAGGATAACCACCCGCCGTCGCGAATCACATGGAGGGGGGGTGTTAGTTAGTTAGTGAGCTGCTGCCGGCCGCAGGTTAAAGTTAGTGGTGAAAACTAACTTCAGTCAGCGACTGAGCTTTGCTAGCAGGCTAACTAATTAGCTGAGTTGACAGAAACCGAAGGTTAGGCAGGCAGTCTGCCTCCCCTCCCTCCCTGTTGCAGTAGCAACTTAAAAAAGGAGGTCGGTCCGTGGCTATGTGGAGACCAGGCAGCTCTAAAGGTAAGAACACACAGCAACCTAACACGCCAAGCTAATTATTAGTTTAGACATGGTCAATGAGCTCCGCTGTTACAGGAACAGGAGAATGGGGTGGGCTTCCTCTCAAAGGGGGTGCGTGTAAAAAATAGCTAGTGCAAATGAAGAAAAATACAGTAGTGTTTGCGGTAATTATACATCACGTTTGCACACCGCATAGGATGCTTGCTTTGTGCTCCTGGTGATCATTATTTCTCCAGTCACTAATATCAGACTGATGCTAATCGCTCTGCTGTCTCCACAGAGCACAATGCACGGAGGAAGCCCCTCATTCCGTAGGAACCTGGCGGATAGGTGCACCGGGAGATGAAACGGCACAGTCTGGAGGCTACGAGCCAGTAGGGCGGGCAGGGTATTAGAGCCAAGTCGAAACCTTGAAGCTTTGCTACCCAGCGGTGTGTGTGTGTGAGAGAGAGAGCGTGTGTGTGTGGTCGAAGTGCCTATGGCGGAGTTTGGGGAGGACGGAAGGCTGCCTCCAGTAAATCTCGGGGACACGGCCGTGCCCAGCGACGACGCTGCGGGCAGGACGCATTGCGAAGAGGCGGTTCTGAATGGAGACTGTGGGATTTCAGACAACATGGTCGGTTCGGGATCCCTGGTCACACCTGGTGGCCGAAGCGGAGTGGAAAACGCCTCAGTGGGAATGGATGCCAAATCAGAAATACCACGCAGGAGCAGCATCATTAAGGTAAACATCGCGGAAGTGACTATATCTGGATTATCTGGATCCAAACCTGCGCATTCACTCATAGGTCCGGATTTCTAGACTTGTCAGCTTTCCTGCAAGGTTATTACACAGCCTGTCTTGAAGTAGGTGTTCCCACAACACATCAGTATTTAGGTTACACCTTGTTCTGAATATTTTAAATGCAATTAGAGCTTCCCTGTTTTTTTAAATAACATCAGCCATTTGAAATGGCGTGTTTGTTTGAAGAGCCAGAGTGCGATTTCAAATATGGAGAAGCAGATGTGCACGAGAGGTCTAAGTAGAAATACAATGGGCTTTGTAGTATAATAGAAACATTAACAAATACAGTAGTGTGACAAAATGAGAGCAATGCTAAACCCATGACCCTAACTAACACTGAAAGCATCCAGTGAAGCTGAGATGGAGAGATTCTTAAACTATGTTCTCTGAAGTGAACACACAGCAGGCTGACTAACATCAGCAGGGTCATGAGCATCTTTGGCTCTGATCTTTTTGAAGTGCAACACAGGCTGAGTGAGTGAAGGACCTGCAGGAGAAACCAACAAACACTTAATCAGTCCTTGGAGGAAACACCAGCTGCTAATTCAAATTTAGAACCTGTCAGATCTGCAAGAAACTGTTTTCCAGTGTTTGTTATTTAACGTAAGGCAATGCGGCAAAAATGTGATATATTTTTTTACAGTGAAATCACGATCATGGCATTATTATAATTAATGAGTGAACTCAGAAGCCATTTCTTACTTCTTGTTTGTGAAAGTGACCATTCACTCTGAGTTTAACTTGCAGGCTGAAAATGAAAATAGTCTCTTGCTCTTGCATAAGCTTCTGACAGAAGATAGATGGAGAAACTCCAGGATTTCAAAAGCCTGACAGTTCTATGACAGACTGTCGCTAAACATTCATGGACTCGCCCATCCTGACTCACAACGGGGGAGGCTGTTGTTCGTTTACAGCTGGGCTGTAGTGTGTGACATATATGTTGCACATGCGATGAAAAAAAACTGAGATAAATTTAGCTCTGGTGCAACATCTTTTCAAGTTACCCCCCTCCCCCCAGAACTTTATTGAACAAATCATACCTGCAAACTTGTTTTTGAAGCCAAATATGGCGTTCCTGTGATTGATCCAAAGAGTTTTAGTTTTGAGGGGATGGGGTCTCCTGTCAGATTTCAGTCAATCTTGATGAGAATCAATCAGACAAAGGAGGGGAGCGTCTTGTTCACAAACTGTCTTCGTGCTAGCATGTCTGTCGCGTGTCATCATTTGACCAATCGAAGTCGCGGAGACAGCTCGCTGCAGAGGTGAAGCAGAGCGGCGCTCACGCTGAGTGAGTACTGTCGCTTCAACATATTGCAGTGGTTTTGAACCAAACGTCTGTCGGATCGAACAGAATCACCACTTAATAACACGGTTTTCTGTCGAGGACAGATTTACCTCCTTTCAGCCTTTATAGAATTTCCTCGTTGTTTATTTATATTTTTGGTAGTTGAGTTTAGAGTAAACACCGCCAGTATTAAACTTGGTTAAAACCTAATAACATAAATACTTATTTTCTGATAAGAAATGGCCACCAGTATGTTACAGCCTCATTTAATATAAATCCCAGTATATGGGTCTGGGACACTGGAGGAGAAACACACGATGAGATAATGCCATAATGTTGTAACATTTCTGTTGCCTTAAAGAGTCAGATCAACATTTAACCTTTAGCTTGTTAAAGTATTCAAGCAAACAGCTGAGCTAAAGCTGCATTTACCTGCAGCTGCAGCTCTTTCTAAACATTCAATCACAACCAACTCTGCAGCACTCCTGAGACCACACCAATAACTTCTTAAGGATGATTATTTGGAAAATTTTCAGATGTTTTCATGTTTGGTGTTCTGTGAATTACTCTCATAATTTTTTATGAATATATGAAGTCCTCCACTCTAAACTCTGAACAAAGGAGGACCGGGCCTTCTCAGTAATGGCCCCTACACTCTGGAATGAGCTCCCTCTGGCAGTGAAGCAAGCTCCTTATCTACAGGAGTTTAAGTCTCGCCTGAAAACTCGCTTTTATCTACTAGCTTTCCCTCAGCATTGTTGACTCTGGCTTTTGTATTTTTACCTTTTGTACTGTATGGCTTTTAATGACTTTTACTTGTACTTTTCTATTTAATTTTTCTATGTGTCTTTTTAACTCAATTTTACTCTCTTTTATCTACTGTGAAGACCTCTCATGATTAATTATATAAATGGAAACCGTGTTCCCTCACCCGGACTGCACATGACGTGCTAAATTGAAGTGTGCTACCAACACTATCTATAGTGGGGACGGTGTGCTTCTGACCTCTACTCAGGACATTGTGGATCGGTGGGCAGAATACTTCGAAGACCTCCTCAATCCCACCGACATGTCTTCCAGTGAGGAAGCAGAGTCTGGGGACTTTGGGTTGGCCTCTCAAATCTCTGGTGCTGAGGCCACTGAGGTGGTTAAAAAGCTCCTCTGTGGCAAGGCTCCAGGGGTGGATAAGATCTGCCCGGAGTTCCTTAAGTCTTTGGATGTTGTGGGGCTGTGTTGGCTAACGTAGCTCTGCAATATTACGTGAACATCGGGGGCAGTCCCACTTGACTGGTAGACCGGGGTGGTGGTCCCCCTATTTAAAAAGGGGGACCGCAGAGTGTGTTCCAACTACAGGCGGATCACACTCCTGAGCCTTCCTGGTAAGGTCTATTCAGGGGTTCTGGAGAGGAGGGTCCGTCGGATTGTTGAACCTCAGATTCAGGAGGAGCAATGTGGTTTTTGTCCTGGCCGTGGAACACTGGACCAGCTCTGTACCCTTAGGGGGATCCTGGGGGGTGCGTGTGAATTTGCCCAACCAGTCTACATGTGTTTTGTGGATTTGGAGAAGGCGTTTGACCACGTCCCTCGGGGGCCCTGTGGGGAGTACTCCAGGAGTATGGGGTACCAGGCCCTCTGATACGGGCTGTTAGGTCCCTGTATGACTGGTGTCCGAGCTTGGTCCGCATTGCCGGCAGTAAGTCGGGCTCATTCCCAGTGAGAATTGGACTGCGCCAAGGCTGCCCTTTGTCACAGATTCTGTTCATAACCTTTATGGACAGGATTTCTAGGCGCAGCCAAGGTGTGGAGGGCATCTGTTTTAGTGGCCTGAGGATCCTGTTGGCTTCATCAGAACAGGATCTTCGGCTTTCGCTGAAGCGGTTCACAGCCGAGTGTGAAGCAGCTGGGATGAGAATCAGCTCCTCTAAATCTGAGACCATGGTCTTGATTCGGAAAAGGGTAGAATGCCTTCTCCGGGTCAGGGATGAGGTTCTGCCCCTAGTGGAGGAGTTTAAGTATCTCGGGGTCTTGTTCATGAGTGAGGGAAAGATGGAGCATGAGATCGATAGGCGGATTGGTGCTGCATCTGCAGTGATGCTGGTGTTGTATCGCTCTGTCGTGGTGAAGAGAGAGCTGAGTCAGAAGGCGAAGCTCTCGATTTACCGGTCGATCTACGTTCCTATCCTCACCTATGGTCATGAGCTTTGGGTAGTGACCAAAAGAACAAGATCGTGGATACAAGCGGCCAAAATGAGTTTTCTCAGAAGAGTTTCTGGGCTCTTCCTTAGAGATAGGGTGAGAAGCTCGGTCATTCGGGAGGGGCTCGGAGTAGACCCGCTGCTCCTCCACATCGAGAGGAGCCAGTTGAGGTGGCTCGGGCATCTGGTCAGGATGCCTCCTGGACGCCTCCCTGGTGAGGTTTTTCGGGCACGTCCAACCAGGAGGAGATGTAAAGGTAGACCCAGGACACGGTGGAGGGACTGTGTCTCTCACCTGGCCAGGGAACGCCTTGGAATTCCCCGGAGGAGCTGGACCAAGTGACTGGGGAGAGGGAAGCCTGGGCCTCTCGCCTTAGGCTACTGCCCCGCGACCCGACTCCAAATAAGCAGATGACAATGGATGGATGTTGTGTGCTGCTCAGCACCTTGGGCCTTCGATAAGCTGGTGGTAGGTGCTATATAAATACATCTGATTGATTGATTGATTGATGATCCCTAAAAATGTGCTCATTTTCTCAGGCATATTTATACATTTTTTTTCTGAGCAGAGGATCTGTTTAAACCTCGTGGTATAAAATCTGTTTCATTTAGCAAAAAAATCACATTGATAATAAATTTTAAAAATGTTATTCCAGAAAATTACTTTAACAGCTAGAAGTGTGTAAATGTCAGAGCAGGTCACTACTACAAACCCCACTGATGCAAATCTGCAGTATGTAAAGTCTGTTGAGAGTTTTACAGTTTTGAATCTGTTGGATTGTTATCGACAGCAGTTACATTTAAGTTTCAGTTTTCCTTCTGGCTGAATGCTGCTGCAGCATGTAGGTGAAGGTTGGACTTCTTTAGTTATGTTGAAGACATTTAGTCTTCCATCCTAGAGGCTTCATCAGTTCCCATACTTTGGTTGTGGTCAGAAACAAACACACCAACAGTGCTGCAAGTCCCTTTTTTTCTTTTTTGAAAACATGTTTTTGTCTAAATGAAGGTGATGCTGTTGTTCATGGAATTAAAATGAATGTTAAAGTTTAGCTTATTTCATCAAGTAAGCCCTGTGGTTAGCTGGCTAATTTAAAACGTATAAAGTTCTTGGATCCTGCCACTTGTTTTCATTATAGGCACTGCTAGTTTTTGCCAGTGTGTTTATAAGAACTACTTTTGGTATTTTGAGATAGTTACATATTTTTTTAGCTGGTGCTTGAAGATTTTGTTTTGTGCTATAAAACCTAAAACCATTGTAGCACCAGTGCTATGATTAAAAATGTTAATGTACAGCCATGTAGCGTCCAGGAAACGGCAGAGAACATCTTGACTAGTAGAAGCTAACCGTTGGCATATTCAACTCCGCCACACGGCAGAACTCCTTCTGACTTGTGTTGTTTATGCGGCTAAAACATCAGCGTAGCAGAAAAACCGAGTCAGTGGCAGAGTTGCGTTGCTGT